CAAAAAGCAGTCCACCTAAATTATTCCAGACAGAACCCTCCAGAGCAGGACAGTGGAGCCACTTCTGAACATAATGCTGCAAACACAGGGCTACAGTAAGAATACCTCCCTTGTATTTTACTTTGGTGAGGTCATAATCCTGGGTTCTGACCTTGTACAGCTGCTTGATCATAGGTCAAGGTAAGCATAGACACAATTTTTTTCCGAGTGCAATACTGCATTTAGCAGAATGAGGTAAAACAGCAAATCAAAATGAAGGATACCTATACCTAGAGTTTATAGGTGCTAATTCTTGCTGAGACAAACGATTCTGCTTCATCAGTTACAATATTGCTGTGCTAGAGATCCCTTAACAATAAACACCCTTGCTGTGTCTAACCTGAACACATTTCCCAGTCGTCTTAGTTCTTAAATCACAAGGACTTTTATTCAAGACAAACCCACTAGAACAGAAGTAATTTTCCCTGTGCTTCAAGAACAGGTAAATCCAGAAACCACAGAAAAGTGGTGAAAATCTGAAATTTCATCATTAAAAAATTTGCAATAACTCAGAAATCCATTTACTAGTAAATAGAAAATGCAGCCAGCTAATGAAAGTGTGCAGCAGAAATGCTGGGCTACACCATGGAGATGTACACTTCTCAGGAAGGGGGGATATTAATGATGAAAATAGCAAAGCCTTACAAAGAAAAGAGATCAACTTGAAACACAGACCTGGTGATAAAAACTCTTGAGCCTGGAGATCTCTGAAATATGGATCCAGTTCAGGACTTAAGCACATTTCTACCAGACAAGTAATGGACACTCTGATGTTGTAAGGTATAATTCATGTACAACAAGCACTTTGGGACTCCCGGGAATCATTATAGGATGCAAAGAAAGACATTTTGCCCACGTGTCAGATTTATCCAAGCTTTTTTTGAGAAACTTTTTTAGTCACAGGGTCTTGTGGTCACTTGCAACTGGAAAGCAAGAGTGCATTGATCTCTTGCATTTTTTATGCAGCAGGTAGATGTTTTGGTACAACTGTCTGTTATGAAAACATTCTAGACAGTCTTGATTGCATGTAATCAGTCTCATATTTGAACTCCCATGACATTAGAGAGACAAGGTGGCAGTTAGAATGGATGCACATCTCTCAGAGCACGCTCATTTCTTGCCTTGAAGGAGACTGATGTCAGCCTAGATGAGCTGAACAAACAAGAAGAGATTCTTTGGACTGAGAATCTCAGTCAGGGCTGGGGCTCAGACAAGGAACACTGATTCTGGCTGGCAAGCTCTGCGGTAACTGGGGACAGCGGATGGCAGCTGGGCAGTGAGGGTGGTCACAGGGACCTGGTCTTGTGGACAAGACCTTGTTCACATGGTCAGGAAGCCTCTCAGAAAGTTACAAATATTCCTTGCAAAGTGCTTAAAAAGAGCTATTAACTGGTACAACAGCTTCACTGGTCTGAGCTGGAGCCCTGCCTAACAGGGGCACAACGGCTGCCCAGTCCTGCTCTCCAAATCTGCACTTCCACTGCGCTGATTTCCTTGAGCAGCACCTTTAAGCACGTGGAGCTCCTGGGACTTCACCCTCAGCTTTACCCTGCTCCTGTAAGAATATAAACCAGCCTTCTGTGGCAGGAGTTACAGAAGGCACATGTATCTGGCAAAGCTTGTGTATTTTAACACGTACTTTCCATAGTGGTGGGGAAAGCATCCAATGGCCATTAGTAACTACCCTTTTTGTACTGTTTGTTGAACTGAGCTGAACTGATCAGCTCTTAGGCCCCATCTTAAAACCATCCCATCAATAATCTTTTTTTTTCCCCTTAAGTCAAAGCAGTCTAAACAGATTTCATCTGCCATACACTTACGATAATAATCTTACTGCCACATGGGGTAGTAACACTTGAGAAAAATAAAAAATCACTGGCTTTTAAAAAGAATTCATATTTAGTCCTTGTTTTCTAGACAGCACAGCTTTCCTCAGGGAAATGCCATCACACATCGGCAGGAACTGCAGCTCCCATCAAGATTTTCATCAAAGCAAATAGAGAACACAAAGTGCTAACAGCTCGTAAAAGTGGTGTAGAGGGCCAAGGAGGGGATAGTCCCACGGCTCTCAGCAAGACCAAGGGAACCATTAAGCAGGGGTCAGGTCCTGCTTACTGCACGAAGAGTGCATAAAATTCCCAAAACGTGAGGCAGAAACCTCTTACTTACTCTACACTCCACATTCCCATTTCAAAGGAGTCACTTGGTCTAGCTATAAGCAACAAAAATGCAGCAGCATGCCACGAACCTCATTTGTGCTAGGAGCCATCTCAAATGAAGAGCTATGGGTGTTCTTTTTTTTGGTCTCATTTTCTTATGATGTAAAATCTACTCCTGTTCAAAAGGCTGTTTGTCGGAAATACTTCAGAAAGGAGTAAATTCAGGATATTGAAGAACTGCTATAGAATAGAATTGTATTTTTCTAGCTGTAACTGTGAAGTAGCTCCTGAGCTCGTTGGTGTAGAGAGGAATTCCATCCTGACAGCACATAAAGGGAATCACTTTCTAGCTGCAGTGGTGGGGGCATCTGCTCTGGGTGTGGAAGGATCCGAGTCCTGTTCAACAATGACCCATAAGGAAATGGTTATATAAATACTGTACTAGTTGTTTGGGGGCAGTC